GTATATATGTTTGTATATGGACACATAGGACTTCAGGTTTTAAGGACACCAGAATGATGAGTAATGGTTGCAGTTTTGACATATAAATAAATACTCAAACCAAACCCTGAAAGACATTGGGGAATGTAACAGACAACGGATAAAAGTAAAAAAAAAATCCAACAAAATAAATCCCTTCATTCAAACCAGATGCATAAAACCTGCTAATACTATCACTCTGTGCCACTTGTAAATGGAAGCAACTTTTGTTTTGCATTTTAAGAAATAAATAAAGAGTGGATACTCAAAAGTGGCAAGCATTACAAAAATAAAAGACAATAAAAAACAGTGGGACTAGTACTTTGCGTCGCAACACAAGGGGGTGTCTGCATAATTCGTCTGTGTGTCAAGCGGTGCTAACAGCACCTGGGGGAGGGGGCGTGGCAAAAAACAACCTCATTCAGCTGTGTGGAATGAAGAAACGAGGCAACGATTTGGAGCACGAGACGGCTTCAGTTCCACCTTTAACACTTTAACTGTAGTAGCGGAGTGCAAATATCCCAAAACAGCAGAGCCCTGAGGGCTCCCGAGCCCCGTTCACTAAAAGTCAACAAACTCCTTTGCACACTTTTCCGTTTGCGAGACATGAATGTCCTCCTCTTCGTAGTCGTCAAAGTTGCTCGTGTCTCCTGGTCCTCTGCACTTGGGCAGGAAAGGGGCTTCTACCTGTTAAAGTAGATGTAAAACTTGGGTAACTGCATATTTCTAGACTCAAACAACTGGTTATGACATTCCCTTCTCTTCAGTGGTGACACGAAGCCTCACCTTGCGTTCATAGATGGCAATCCAGTCGGTCGAGGAAAACCACTTGTGGTTTTTGATGTCATTCACACCGTTCTTCAGGTTGCCAAATCGCTTCGTCAGGTCCACCTGCAGCAGGTTCCTCAGCAGGTCTTTTAGATCAGAGCTAAAGTGGGAGGGGAATCGTACCTAGAAAGAATAAATTAAAAAAAGCAAAGAAAGACGAGGTGAGATCCGGCAGTCAAGATGAGAACCGCAGCCAAACCTGCACAACTTGAGAGCAAGAAAAGATACCGTGCATATATGCATTTTAATATTTAAACGTGAACTTTTTATCACTGCATACCTTGCCAGACACAATCTTTTCATAGATCTGGATAGGCTGATCAGCGAAAAATGGAGGGTAACCAGCAGCCATCTCATAGATGAGAACTCCAAGTGCCCACCAGTCCACAGCTTTGTTGTAGCCCTAAAACACAAAACAGTTCTTATAAAAATGTAAAATTACCTTATATGACAAACAAATTTAAAGTTTCATCTGATACAGACGTATGAATCATACAAACTGCATTCATTGTGATCGCTCAATAATGTATTGCTAAAAATTTGGGCCTCATTTCTGCCTCATGACTCACAACAGGAAGGATATTTATGTCTTTTACGATGCATTTAAACCTTTATGTGAATTTTTTTGATTCGCTGACATCAAAATGCCTCAACGCTCAGTTTTCCCTAAGTGATGATACGCCAGGCCTGTACACAACAGTCAGCTCCAATTCTTGCTTGTGTCAAATCCTGACTTTCAGWTGTTTTGTCTGAGTCAAAAGAAACACAAACTCAGCTCCACTGAATTCAGCCGACTGCCCCAAACGCTCAAAGGCAATCCACTGTTTGACAACAGAAACCATTAATCTGCCCTCTTGAGCCATTGGTTGCTCTGTAGGTACATTTTCATGCTCAGTTAAGCAAACAAACTAAAAGAATCAACCTTTAATTAAAGTTTTGTAGACTGAAAAGTCAGTTTAACTTATAAATATTGCCAGTCAAAATGTATCGGTATCATTCTCTTGAGTCCTTCGAGTATTTCACATATTGTTGCTCTACAAATGGCTGCTAAGTTGTTTATGAAGAATGTTGTCCTGATGCATCTCAGTAATCTAGGTAGAAACAAATCAAAAAGAAAAAAAAATGAGTAGGTCCTCTGGATGGGTTCTTTTTTAGTGAAACGTTTCGTCTCTCCTCCAAGAGACTTCTTTAGTCTGATGAGTTTCAGGTGAACTCAGACTTATAAGCACTGCCTCCACATGGACAAACAGGTTAGTCACAAACCCAACACAAATAGGGAAAGAGAGACAAAAACAAGGGGACGTCGAGCCCCGCTTGCACTCACTACATACACATAACACGACACAGGTCAGGTGATGGGGCATATGACCCTTTATAAACAATAGAGCTAATCGAGCCTATTGTTAGGCGATGGTCCTCTTTTGCATGTGACTAACCTGTTTGTCCACCATGTGGAGGCAGTGCTTATAAGTCTGAGTTCACCTGAAACTCATCAGACTGAAGAAGTGGAGGAGAGACGAAACGTTTCACTAAAGAAGAACCCATCCAGAGGACCTACTTATTTTTTTCTTTTTGATATGAAGAGTGTTGTTTCAATTTTGCTCTGTTGTTTCAGTGCTGTGGCTCGTTCAACCACAGAGCACTGAATTATGTCTCATAAAAGAGGTACCTAACTCAAAGGATGAACCACTGTCGTGTCCAATTCTATATTATTTTTTAATTTCCTTTTATGAGTAGGTGGCTGGTCACAAAGAACCCCCTAATTAGTTTCTTGCCTTCAGCAGCAGTGTAGTAACACAGATGAAGGGCTCACCTTGCTGAGGATGATCTCTGGAGCCAGGTACTCTGGAGTTCCACACAACGTCCAAGTCCTGCCTTTTACTCGTTTGGCAAAACCAAAATCTGTGACCTGAGGAAAGAAAACAATAATAAAGAATAAAGAAGCTAAATGTATTTGGCTACACTTAAAAGCCATATTCTTAATAAAAAATAGCTTGTTTGATATTATTAAAATATGACTTTGACTCCACTTTTCTTGCGCTCTTTCCTTTTGTCTACAAACAGTCTGCAGATGCACTTTTTTTCGTTTTTATCTTCTAAACTCAATACCTGGATGTATCCATGTTGATCTATGAGCAGGTTTTCAGGCTTCAGGTCTCTGTAGATGAGGTCTAAAGAATGAAGGTACTCAAAGGTGAGCACTATCTGAGCTGCATAAAATCTTGCATGGTGTTCACTAAAAGAGGCAAAGAAATGTGGACGTTAATGCACGACACAAACACACGCTTCCGCTGGCAGAAAGAGGCAAATAAGTAAAGAAATGAAAATAAATAATACCTGAACCTTCCTGTGCGTCTGAGGTGCGAGAACATTTCTCCACCCGGGACATATTCCATCACCATGTAGAGGTTTGAGTTGTCCTGTCCGAAGGGAAACATAATTGTATAAATTACTTAAAATAACTAAGTAACAATACCTTAACAGAAAATAGGAACAGGCGTCAGCGTTTTGGATGCTCCACATTTGAGCAGAACATCCAAAACGCTACCACTGACGCCTGTTCCTGTTGACAATTTTCTTTTTTTACTTTCTACATTTATTTCTTTTAATGCAAATGTTTGTTTGTGGTATGCTCAATGATGTATGTATTGTATGTTTTTATTCATTCATGCAGCCTCTGGGCTAGGTCATATTTGTAAATGAGAAGTGATTCTCAAACAGTTTACCTGGATAAATAAAGGTAAAAAAAAAAAGCGGCTTTGTTAAAAGTGAACCTCCCTGATAAGCAAAGTACTTAAGTAGAAATCATAAAACTGCTCACAAAAATTGGGAAAGTAATTTTACACACACTCTAAGAAAAGAAGTGCTGAATGTACTTAACCAAGTTATGTCAACTGGTTCCACTAGATCGAGTCGAGCAAACTTCAAGTGGTTTAAATTACACAATTTGCTCAACGTGGTTTAGTGGAATCAGTTGATTTACCTTGGTTAAACAAATCCAACACTTCATTTTTAGAGTGCATAAACAACTCTTTTCATGATGACTTTGGTCAAATGTTATTTTCTTTTGTGTAACAAGGTGTTTAATTTTAAAGTAAAGAAGAAAAAAAAGCTTTTTTTGTTTTGAATGTAACAAAATAAAAGTAAAAGTTTAAAGAAATGCTTGGTAAAAGTTCAGATATTCAAAAAAGTACTTAAGTATTGGTTTTAGTCTATGCTAACCTGTGTGTGTGTGTCTGCTGTTTTGTGTTTTATTGTGAACCAGGATGGAGAAACCTGCTAAATTATTTATTAGAATTTTTCGCTGTAGCCTCTGATTATATTTGAACAAAYGTTACATCAAAACAAAGTAGCACTAGAAAAAACAGCCTGCCTTGGATTAGGAATACTTTTTTTCATGTTRGCTGCCCTCTTTTCTGGCAAAATCGTGTGACCCAACATGACAAGGGAAACTACAGAAGTACTATGTCATCAAATTAAGAAATAAGACTGGTAAAAACTTTCTTTTTGATATTGTTTCTTGCTCAAACAAATTTATTATTTAATAGCTTTATCACACAGCTTTATTTTTGCTTTAGTTTTTCAATGGTCTACGCCAGTGGTTCCCAAACTTTTTGTCTTCTGACCCACAAAATATCCATGGCAAAAACTTGTGACCCCAAATATTACTGGTCTGAGTACATAAACTTAGTTAATAACCCTAAAAACACAGGCTTTTTGACCATCTAAACAGCTTGTACACAAATATAAATACTTATTTTTACTTATTTTGTGTTTTTGTAATAATTATAGGGAAAATATTACATCAGCAATTATTTTATTACCCTTTAAATTGATTTCTGGAGATTATCCAAGGTGCTTCATGACCCATAATTGGGTCCCAAGCCCAACTTTGGGAATCAAAGTGCAGTGGTTCCCCAACTTTTCAGCTTTTGACCCACAAAATAGTACAAAACAGTAGCAGAGACCTGYGCCCCCAACTATTTTTGGATGATAAACATTTGTATCAGGTCAACAAAACATGGGCATAGTAACAATATTTTTTATACTACATTTATCCATTTTAAATATACTAACCTCACTCCTTTGTACAAACTAAGGCAAAAATGTAATTAATTCAGAAAATCTTTTCAGGACCCCACCTTGATGTTTCAGGACCCCACTTTGGGTCCCGACCCCATCTTTGGGAAACACTGGTCTACGCCAAACTTCAGGGATCATGTACCTAATGGCCTATTTATGAGGCTTATTTGTTTTTTTATTCTCTTTGACCCATAAACAGATTCATCCAGATGTCTTAGATCCATCAGTACCTTGAAAGCATATTCCAATTTGACGAGGAAAGGGAAGGAGACGGCCTGTAATATTCTCTTTTCATTTAGCGTGTGTTCAATCTGCTTCAACTTCACCACCTGAAAATACAAAGCAAAGGAGAAATGAATGAGAATATTATGAGAGGTATAATTCAAGACATCATATACGATTTTAAAACCAAGCATTATGTGTTTGTCTTTGTACATAGCTTACTAATGATGTGGTTGAAAACAAAGTTTTTTTTGTTTCGTCATCATTAATACCATGTTTTTATTTCTTGCATTACAACATAGTAAAGGAGTTGAAAGCACAGCAGATGCTTGTCAGTTTGTTTGAAATCTAAAATACCATTTCAGAGCTCTTTTTTAAATTTTCTTTTGCTGAAACCTTACTTTAAGGTCTAGTATTTATATTGAGCTTCAACATTTGCAAGTCAACACAAACAGAGCGGCATTAATCTAATTACGACACTGTAATAAAACAACAACAACAACAACAACAACAACAACAACAACAACAACAAAAAAACGTAACACTTAGCCTAATATCTGCTGTGATATGATTTTGACCCTCATGGAAGCAAATTAGCATATTCTAGAGATGGTCATCTTTAAATTTTGAGAGCTACAATCGAAAAAAAAGAAGAAAAAAAAACCCCACGTAAACTACCTTTTAGTTTCACGCTTTAAATAATATAAACACGACCGAGAGGAGTTGGTGAGAGTTTTGCAAACCAAGTATTAAAAAGCAAAAAAGAGACAGAAGATCGCAGCCGTTCTGTTGAATTGAAACCGAAAGCTGAACAGGTCCACTTCTTTTAAGCGAACAGACGTGCACTAGAAGTAACACACAAGAGGACATGCAAGCCGGTCTTTACCACTTTCACATCATTATTTAAAGATCAAAACTCTCATGYAAAGGTCCCTCTGGGTTTTCAGTGATAATATGCTAGCAGTGCACGAGAGGAAGCACTCCATTTCCTTTCATCAGATACTCAGCATCTGCACGCAAATGAAGCAGCTTTGCAGGCCTTTCACTTTTACGAACATGCTGGGTTTGCAACGGCTCGTTCAGATGGATTTTTATTTATCGCCGTAAACTCACTTTTTGTTTGTCCAAGATCTTCATGGCATAGAACTGATTTCTTCCTTTATGCCTTACGAGCATTACTCTTCCAAATGAGCCTGTGCCCAGAGTCTTGTACCTTTCAAATTCGTCCAGCGTCGTTGCGCACTGAGAAAACACAAAATGAATGGAAATAAGGCAACAAAATTAGGATTCTGAATACTTTCCACTTTTATGCAGGCCATAAATATTTTTAATATTTTGTCTTCAAGAAACTCAAGGTGAAATTTTAGTGCAATTTTTTTTAAATAAGGCATTTATCCAACCGGACTGCAATTAATTCAACATCAAAGCTACTCCTAACAAAAGGAACAGGTTWTTGTATCAAACATTTTATTTAATTTTTTGGATAATAAATAGATGTAACCAGTGGGCTAAGAAAGACACACAAACAACTTACTTGTGGCGGACACTCCCATTTTCTTAAAAAATCTTCTTTGGCTTTAGCTAAGAATTCTTTCACTATATAAAAAAAGACAGAAATGCAATAAAAAATAAATTAGAGCTTTTGAACCCAAACGTTTGTTCATGGAAGTTAAAAAGAAAAAGGCAGTTCACACATTCAGGGGAATAAAATGCACTGAGGTCAGGCACGTGTCAAGTATTGGGGAGTGAGGACTACGCTCGAGACAACAACAACAAAAACATATTCATGTACATTTCAAAACCACACACCTAGGCAGGAAATCTGAATTCATAAAGTGATGCAAAGAGCTCTGCGAAACTTTACGTAACTGGCCGAATTGGAGAGAAGCTATTCTGCATCTCTTTCAGGAGTAGGCGGGGTGAAGGAGAAAGACACCAACAGTGGGCAGAGAGAGAGAGAGAGAGAGAAAAGGCACAACATACATGTAACTGAGAACACAGAGCAGGCAGCAGAAACACGGTGCATTGGTAAAGTCATAGCTGACATGAGATGTCCAAAGTCAAAGAGTCGTTAGAGTGGTCTAAAGTCTCGCTGACGTTAGAGCTTGGCCATCTGTTACTTATTTATTTGCATTGATTTATGGGTTCTCTACTGGCTACTTAATCTGATAATTCCCTAATCAAGTTAAACTCACAATGGTTTAACAAGAAGGTGGGATTGTTGAGCCAAAGGTCTATAAAAACAGATATGTTGTCTGTGCACTATCAAATGAAGCTTAAATTGTCTGCAACTTAGTGAATTCTATGTTGAAACCGACATATTTTTAATGTTTAAATAAAAAAAATTATTTTGAATACATTGCTGGAAAAATATGTATGTATGTATGAGGCGACAGAAAATCAAATTTCACAACTTTTTAGATTAAAATGTACAAAATAAAAGTGTATAAAGGAACGCAGACATTCACATATAAATATTGAAATAAACTAATCACTATGAGAAAGACTGTGGGTTAAAAGCAATGGGCCTCATGCAAGAACATGTTTGTGTTCTTATCCTAAATTTCTCTTTTGTTCGTACAAAAGGGTT